AAGAGTAGAAAAAGAGTGCTATTTAGCTGCCACCATCCCCACCTTTGAGTCTTGCTCCTCTTCCACCTTCTGTTCTTACTCCCTTATCCCCAGAATAACAAGAATTGTCCTGGCTGGCTCACTTGTCCAGACCTAAGAGAACTGTGCAATAGATGTAATGGAAAACAGTTTAATGGTAGTAGTGTGTAAAGAATTTCAAATCAGTTTAGCTCCATTATTAAAATGACAATGGGGAAGATGCTGATGCTGATAGAGTTTGTAACATTTGCCGTTGCTGCCCAGTTCATGGAGGGGAGGATGTGTCACTGAGGATGGCCTCAGTGTCAGGAGGATGGCCTTAGTCACACCACCATGCAAGCTGCTGACATCTTTTTGAGCTAAAATATTTCTGAAGCTATCTGCCAAACTGTATCCAAAAACAGCAAATGCATTCCGTGCAACTGAATGATTATAATTGGAAAACCTCTGGCAATGGAAAACTTCATCCCTTGTAAACTGATGCTACATTTACATATATTGAGATATGGGACATATGAAGAAATAATGTAATTCTCTATAAAATAAATCCCTCTATCCCAGTTCTTAGTCTGTTACATCAAATCCTAAATAATTACTTTAAATGTCTTTGTTTTGACCAAAATTTGTGTTATTGTTTAAAAACAAAACAAAGCTGGTGTTGAAGAAATATGTAACGCATTCCTTTGTGTCCTTAGGATATTTTTGAGCAATTTGGAATGATTTTAAACACTTTAGAAATGAACGAGAACTGTACTAAAAAGTGTATATTTCACAGTATCATTAAATATATATTAAGGGACCACTATTGGTGGCTGAGGAGACAATGTTATAAAATTTAGACTTGAATCTTTTTAAAGGAAACACTTTCAAAACTGAGTTTTCATTCTCTTTCTCAGTCATGTATAGATTACTTTCACAACTATTGCCTAACACAACGCAGAGATTATCCATTTAATTTTGATAAAATCTAAATTCTTTAACATGACTTATAAGCCTTCATAATTTATCATATTTCCACCTACTTTCCCAGTTTTATCTCTCATTCCCTTTGTCCTTGAACCATCCTGAACTTTTCTTAGTTCTAATGTGTCATGGCTGTCTGTCTCACCACCTCAGCCCTTGTGTGTAGTTGATTCCTCTAGGTGGAACAAGAGTCTATACATTCACTTTTTTTTTTTATTTACTTAACTATTGTGGAGTAAATGTGTGCCTTTAAAATAGACATTGCAAGCATATTAAACAATTTCTCGATTTCTGACAGTTCTCTACATATTAGTAGCAACTCAAACTCATTTTTCATGTGACTTCTAGTTGTAGCAACAGGGGCTGCATTTCCACTTCCACAACAAATAGAGAGAGCCATCTTCATTACCCTTTGGGAGTTACAAATTGGATCGTGTCTCTTTGCAAAAGACCCAGTGGTTCAAAGCAAAAATATTTTGAATTAGAAAAACTGGGAAATCCAATTATTTTGCAACCATCAAGAAACAGGATACATTTCTGCTGTGATCAAGTCCCTCAATTCCTTAATTTTTTTTATGGCAAAACTAATCTGATCAGTTGTTTTCTTATTTTTCTATTTAATTTGCTATCTGATTTCCCAGTGGTAGGTTCATTGACAAATTTAGCAATGTAATTATAAAAAGGAGTTATACTGAAATAGAATCTCTATATATGTATTAAGAAAGTACATGTTTAAAAAATCTGGCATAACATTATCTTCTTATGTAATAAGGTAGACCCATGAAATAAAACATTATTAGATCATGGGTTTACTTTTCCAAAAATGTTGTATTTAGCCCTGAAAACATTTTAATTACAGTAAAGTATATAGGTTTCAGATATCTCTATACAAATGTTATTCTTTTACTATATGTTTCTATAGCCACAAATAGTAATAATATCAACTCCCCTTTCAGAGTAAAGGGAAAATTTCATTTTAAAATATTTTACAAATATTGACAACCGTACAAGTACTACTTTACCGAGGTAGTGAGTTTTTAGTTCTGAATGCCACCTCTCTTTTTATTGGTAGTCTTTTTTTTCTTTGATTAATCAGTGCATTTCAAAATACAGCTCTATTAAAAGTGTCTAACACCAAAGTTCTGTTTAGGTCTTAAAAAAATGTTTCCATTACAAATTTCAGGCAACTTAAAGAAACTGTTGATAATTTTATTGCATTAATTATTTCTGTATTGTTGGGGAGGAAATTTAAAAAGCCATTTAAAAGAAGAAAATAGTTTGTGGGTAATTGTTTTCTTTAGAAGTGGGAAGGAGCTCTTAAGGAAATGCATATTTAGGAATCTCATTTAGTTGATGGCCCATTTGCTTCCAATCTCTATTAGTATATGTTTGAAGAAAATAGAGTTCATGGAATTATGCAGTCAGCAGATTAGTGAGCACTTGTCCCTGGGTTTGGTACAGTTCAAAGGCCTCTGCAAGTGGACTCAGAAAGTCTCAAGTCTGCCACATGCTCTCCATGTCACTTAAGCCACTTAAGAAAGTCCCTTGGCCTCTGAGCATCTGTTTTTCATTTGTAAAATGGAGATAACGGTGCTTTTCTTGTAAGTTTGCTATTAGGAATGTGACACAACATATATGAAAAGGCTTTGTAAACTAGAAACTACAAAAATCAATTATAATATTTAGCATGAGCTCTAAGATTCTCATAACAGATTGTACAAAAAGTTGAGTTTATATTTTGTGTTCTTGTTTCCTTTTCACAGGCACATGTGATAAATCCTTTATTAGGTTATAAGCTCCTTGCCTAATTAAATAAAGACTTTTGCACAGTGAGCATACCACCTCCTCCTTCCACGTTGTTCTCTGGATTACATGTGACTAATGGACACTCAAAAGGTTTTATGGACAGATACTGTCTTCTTCCTCAGTTCCAATAACAAGCAAATAGTCACTACTGTCAAAAGTCTCTTTTCACCTATTCTCTGTCTAAACCTCCCTATTGTAATCCCTTCCTTTTTCCACATATTCTATCCTGTAAAGTCATGAAGAACTGGCAGGTCAGCATTGACTTAATAAAAGCCTTTATCGTTGTTACCAAACTCTCTTCAGACGCAAGACAGAGTCCTTGGTTTTCTGTCTAAATCTGTCCCTCTCGCAAATCCCAACACAAGCAGGATTAACTACATCTTTGGCCCCAGGAAGAAGGCAGAGTGTCTCCTGGCTCAGGGAAAATTCCTAGAGCCAAGAAGGTCCAGAGGAAAAGTCCATCCCCATCTGGGCAAGTGAGAGGACTACAGTACACCCACATAAAATGGCTAGAGGAAATACGAGCGGAAAGAAAAGGAAGGACAAGGCTGAAGACATCAGAAGCAAAAGAAAGTGAAAGTACAGTGTTCCCAAGGCTCTGTCTGATATTCCTTTAGAAGACTGAAGAGATGCTCTGCTCTACCCTGATGCTTAACAAAAGTCTTTATTTACTAGGTAAGTAGGTATTAGCTCCTAATAAAACGCCTTTCAAAGCTGAAGGGATGGTGAGGAAAGGATGGCTACCTCTCAGTCCCCCTCCTCGGATCCTATACATGTGCCTACCCTTGGCTCAAAGTAATTCTGTATTCTTTTTGTGAGGTTTTTAATAAGCGGACCCAGTTCAACGCACCTTTTAGGTTTAGAGAGCATATTTTTAGTGTAAGACACCTCTCCCAGTGTTTGCCGATATGATGTGGCTTTCACTAAAGAGCTCAGCGATCCTCAGGCTCCCGGTAAACACGTGTGCCCGCGCCAGCTCCGGCACACCCTGCATTTCAGCACCGCTGCCTCTGGATAGCGCCCTGTTGGCCGCCCGGGTCGCCTCCCACGGTCACTCATCCATCCCCAGCCCACTCGTTCTCCTCTTCTCCTTTCCCTCAGTGCCAGGAAAGAAAAAAAAAAAAAAGCACCCCCAACTTCTAATCTCTCCTTAAGCCTGCTTCCGCGTCCCTCCCTCAGGGTCTAAACGTGCACACCCCCGCGCCTGTGAGTCTGGCCGGAGATCTCCGATAGGCATCCATCCCCTTTCCCTTGCCCTTGCTAATCCCAAACCAGCAGCCAAGAGCCGGCTCGCTTCCTCTCTCTCCAAGCCCAAAGCCTCCAAGAAACAAACGGCGCGATGGTGTGCACACACACACACACACACACACGCCCCAAATCGCGTGAGCGCGCGCGCGCGCACACACACACACAGTCATACACACACACTCGCACGCCACAAGCCTCCCAGGTGCCATCGCCGCCCTGGGAAGAACGTCAGCCAACTTGGGTCCAGATCCATCAACACCAGCTGGGGAAGGCCTCTGGCCTTGGCCCCCGCCCCCCTCCGGGCAGCGGGTCCCCACAGCCAAGCCCAAGCTGGCCAGCATCCCTCTGCCCCATTCATTCAAGCATCCACCTCCCGCGGGCAAAACACGGTGCACCACCCGCAAACATTCCCCCCCTGGGCCACCCCAACCACCATCCAAGCCCTACATTAATGTGTTACTGGTTGTTGTGAGTGTAATGTTTGTGTCTCGGACGCACAGACATCATTTAACTCCTTCGAGCTTTCCTCCCAGCCTAAACAAACCGCACGTTATCTCCAACCCCCTCCTCCTCGCGTCTCCGCGCCCCAACCTCTGCCCCCATCCCGATCCTCCTCGGCCAAGTACCCAAACCACCGCACAGCCGCACCCAAGTTCTCGAACCTCGGCCTCCCATCCAGCCCAAACCAACACGCACCTTCGCCCCTTCCCCTCCCCCACCTCTTGCCTTCCCCCCACCCCCCACCCCGAGAGCCGGGTCTGGCCCGAGCAAGTGACGCCTCGAAAGCGCAGTCAGCGTCCCCTCCCCGGAGCCGGGAATGGAGGGGCTGACCTCCGACCAGCGGGATCAGCCAGCGTACCCCTCCGAAGGGCCACTCGCCTCCCAGCTCAGTCGCCCTGGAAAACACCGGTGCCGGGACCAGCGAGAGGCGGAAGCAGCCTCGGGGGGTGGGCGGGAGGACTCACCGAACATCTGAATGTGCCCTTTGGTGATGGGATTAAAGCTGCCGCAGGCCAGCAAGATAACGTGGGTCTTGGTGGTCTCGGTCATGGTGCGGGTGGGCTCCTCGCGCTCGTCGCGGGGTCGCTTCTTTTTGTGTCTCGATGTCTGCAGAGAGAGAAAGGAAGGCGAGGCTCCGGCGGCGTTGGATGCTGTGGACTCCAAGGAGCCGCTCCAGACGCAAACCGCGTCACTCCCCGCCTCCCCTTAACGCTTGCATCCCCGGCAAGATCCGAGACTGCTTTTGTACTGTTCTGCTCCCTCCTTCTCTTTCCTTCCCAGCTTCTTTCGCGCCTCTCGACCTTCCTTTCTCTACCCCCACCCTACCTTGTTCCATCCCGTTTGCTTTTTTAGTGTCTATCCAGACAAAATGTGGTACCCAAGTCCAGAACCATGAATACTTACAGTATGGTGTGAGCTCCTCCTCTTACCTCCGTCTGACTTAGTTTTCCTCCCTCATTCTAACACTTTTCTGTCCACATCTATCCTCTAAATCCAAAAGCGTTCGATGGGAAGAACTGTTTCTTTCTCTCTTCCTAAGATGTTAAGTGAGGAATGACAGTTGTTCATTTCAGGAGTGTTTATTACTGCCTTTGTTTTGCCCCTTATCTGATGATTGTGAACTGCTGAACTGAGCCAAGAACTAGGGAAGCCTCGATCCTTCCCCTCTTCCCTTTCCTGGGTTGAAGCAATGAGATCATATTGGGAGAACATAAATGGGGCACCATGAGCTAAAGTTGTCTTAGAAAATGACTGTGATCTTACATAAGCTGCCAAAAATGAGGCAAAGATGTGCGCATTCAATAAATGTTTCTTGGGTGCTCACTGTTGTGTTTAGGCTTGGTTATAAAATCTGCTGATAAAGCCAAGTCCCTGTCTTCACCGACTGCACATTCTACCGAAAGGAAACAGACAATACGCAACAGATCAAGAAAATATTAGATGGCAGTTGTGCAATGCTCCATCGGTGAGTGTAATTTACTCTCTGGCTGTGAGTGGAGGAAAGGGGACCACTTTACATGAAGTAGTTAGAGAAGGCCTCTTTGTGCAGGTAAGATTTAAACTGAAACCTAAAAGATAAGGGGTTGCTACTACAAATATTTTGGGACAGGTAAGAGTTTATTGTGCTAGTAGAAATGAAAGAAGGCCAGTGTGGCTAGAGTATATGAATAAAGGGGGAAATCCTAAGAGAGAAGATTGGACTTGTGAGCAGGATCCAATAAAGTAGGGCGTATAGGTTAAGGTAGGGTTAGGAATAATTTAGAGAGGAATGAAATAAGGAAGCCATTGGAGAACTTCCACAAGGGAAACAGAATGCTTCCAGGTGCCAACATTCTGGGCCTCGAGCTCTAGTCTAGGAGGACAGAATTGCCTGTGTCTATGTATCTTTATTTGGCTGTTGTTCATATATCACTTAATGTCTTTTGTAATAAGTGGGGTATCTAGTGGGGGGGAAACCCATTGAAGCTTTTAAGCAGAGGAGTGATTCATAATTTACACTTTTATAAGACACGTCTGGCTGCTAGGTGGGAAATAGGAAGACAAGGAAAGCATTTAGGGAAATCTGCTGGCAGGCTAAGCAAATGGGATGGTCCTTGGACTAAGATTTATAGAGGTGACGCTGCTGAGAAGCAAAGGGTCTCAGGATAAGTGTTGTAAATAGAGTTTTTGAGCTTTGCAAAGAGATTGAATTTGGAAGATGAGGGAAAAAGAAATCTAGGAAAATGCCTAGAAATTTGGCTTATGGAAATGAACAGGTAGAGACTGAGAAAGATGGGAAAGGGAAGTGTGAAAAGCGAGCAAGTGTTCTGTTCTGATATAATAGATAGACCTAATAACTCTTCTTTTTTGAACTGGCCTTTTAAAAATTGAGATATGATTGACGTATATCATTGTATTAGTCTCAGGTGTACATATAATTCTGAACATAGAGCTCCACAAATACAAATATTTACCTTTCCTGGGCTTCAAGATTCTTGGGTAAATTGCTTGTCCAAGAGTATATAATAGGTGTGCAATAAATACTTGTTAAATGATTCTGACTAGCAAATCAACCCTAATATGTATAAAGTTTATAGTTTAAATACAGGGGTCCTAAGAATTGGTGTATATCAATAATGAAGTTTGCATCTTCCCTGATACAGAATGCAGATTATTGGGCCAGAAAGAGCAAGATGTTGAAGGGAGGCTGACTTGGGTATGAGACAATGACACTAGCTGGGCAATTAACATGATTATAGTTAAGCAATAAATATTTATTGAGATCTGCCATGTGTCAGGCACTTGATTTAGGGGCTTTGAACGAAACAAAGTCCCTGCTTTGGTACAACTCACATTTTAGAGGGGAAAACAGACCATAAAACAATGAATAAATCTGATGATAACAAATACCACAATGAGAAGGAAGCAGGGTAAGAAGAAAAGGAAAGGGAAATTCTCCTTTATTTAAGGTGATCAGGAATGGTCCCTCTGATAACAAGGTATCTGAGCAGGGACCTGAAGGAAGTGAAGAAATGTGTCACTTGCTAATTGTATGGCTTTGAACTAGAGCTGCTATATTGCATGCCCTGTGTACTATACATACAGGGGTATAGTATGTATCAAATAAGACCATGTGTGAGTAAATGACTTTTTTTTAAAGCATATTGTCAGTTTTAGGCCAAACTCCACAGTTGTTATGTTCAAAATACGTATTTTTGTGTGTGTGTTTAGTTTTTTTATGATTATTTTTAATCCTCACTGAAAGATATTTTTCCATTGATTTTTAGAGTGAGTGGAAGAGAGAGGGAAAGACAGAAAGAAATATCAATGTGAGAGAAACACATAGATTGGTTGCCTCCAGCATTCACTGCCTCCACCCCCACCCCAGGGCCCAAGCCGGGTAGGAGCCTGCAACCCAAGTACTTGCCCTTGACCAGAATTAAATCCAGGACCCTTTGGTCCACAGGCCAACACTCTATCCACTGAGCCAAACCATCCAGGACTGTTTAGATTTTGTTATTGATGACTTTGTCAAGGATGTTCTGGAAGTTACAATCTTAGAAGACAATGGATTTGAAAACAAATAGCCAAAAAGCATACTAAAAGCAAATTAATTTTCAGTTAAGATTCCGAGGTTGACTTACAAGATATAGAAATAGGAATGTCAAGTCTCTTGCATAATACATGTACCTTAATATACAGAGTGAGCTATTCTCACTGGTGCTTATTTTAACTTAGGTAACATAATTTGGTCCAATATTTCAACTTTCCAACAGCTGGATAATTGCTTTAGGCTGAAAAGGAACCAGAGTTATTCTCCCACAGCCTAAATCTTGCAATCTGCTCCAGCTAGTTCGGTTTCCAAATGGCTCAAGGGAGACAGTCCAGCCCAGAACTTTCCCTGCTATAAATATCTGTTCTGATGGGCAGGCTTAAGTGTCTATTGGGCCTGGTGTGAAATGTGCATATGTAAAATCTAGCAGTGTGGGTACTTATGCTCACATATCTCCCTATTTACCTAGCTTGGATTAATCATCCATTGCATCACAAATCAGGGTAAAACCATTTCATGTTTATGAAACTGGGTTCCAAAGTAATATTAGGGATCCTTTATAGGAAGAGCAAAAGGGCACACATCTCCTTTGGTTCCTGAGATAAAGTCAGATATTAAATATTTATTTTATGTTTTCCTGGTAAAAAAAATAATATTACTCTGGGAAATGACTGAGAAATCCCATGACTCTTTAGGATTCTCTACAGTCTCTATATTTGCATAGTTCTTTCTTTCTTTTGCTTTCTTTGCTTCTCTTCAAGACAAACATCTTCAAGGATACAGCTAAAATGATTGGCATTATTCTCCCCATCTTCTTCAAAAGCAAACATTTTTACATCCATGGAGTGAAAAATGTCCCTAGATCAAAATCCTTCTGCCTTCAGCTCTAAATTCCCTAAATCTCACTCAGATTTATAATTTACCTAATTATTCAAGTCATATTGCACAAATGAAAGATGTTTCCAAAATTTAAGACCTGGCCAGCAATTATAAACATGCCAATACTGCTGGTACCATAGTGAAAGGTAAAAATAGGATACAGGTCTTTATAACCAATAGGCATTGTATACCATTAAAAATAACAAACTTCTAAAACAAACAAACAAAAAAACACCCACATAAATAAAAACCAGCCCTCGCTGGTTTGGGTCAGTGGATAGAGTGTCAGCCTTCGGACTGAAGGGTCCTGGGTTGGGTTCTGGTTAAGGGCACATCCCTGGGTTACTGGCTTGATCCCCAGCGGGGGGCATGCAGGAGGCAGCTGATCAATGATTCTCTTTCATTATTGATGTTTCTATCTCTCTCTCCCTCTCCCCTCCTCACTGAAATCAATAAAAATATTTAAAGAAACAAATTTCTTCAGCTAACTCAGATATTTGCCAATTTATTCATCATTGCTTCTTTCAGATATTGAGCGGAGGGGCACGTACAAATCATTATTTTCATCTTGTGACTAAAGAGCTCACTACTTGTAAAGTTTTCCCAAAAGCAGGAATAGGATATATAAAAACAAGTTCTATCAGAAAGAATGAATAAGAAGTCAAAGTATTCCTTGAAATGTGAGAATATTTCTGCCTCCTTTAAGTCACCTGAATGAAAAACATGTCTAGCTCACAGCAATCTTAAATAAAGGATAGGGAACTTAAAAGACAAAAGTTTTGTGGGTTTTTTTTTATTACATCAATATCTCACAATTTGGTCAAGTCAGATCTAACCTAGAATTTTAATCCCATGACTCCCTAAATTTATGAAATGTAGAAATTAGCAGTGGTGCAGCAGAGCTTCCCTAAAAACTTACCAATAATAACCAATTTCAGAGGATATGGAGGCATAAGAAAAATTTGCACCAGTTGTACCTGTTAGCTTCAGTCTTCACAACCCATATTCATTCTGTTGCTGTACTTGAGGTGGCTGAAGGTTGGTAGCTGTACATTTTTAGATTTTTATGAGTTTCTTGTATGATTCGGGACCATTTCAGGAATCTATAACAGACACCCTATTCAAACTAACTTAAGCCAAAGAGAACTTATTAATCTACTAGAGGCCCGGTGCACAACATTTGTGCACTGGGGGGAGGCGTTCTTCTCAGCCCAGCTTGCACCCTCTCACTCCTTACTGCC